CTCTCTCTCTCTCTCTCTCTCTCTCTCCCCGTCTCGCGGCTCCTGCCCACGGTTCGTTCCCATCTCTGACAGTCTGATATCTCCCCCTACCCTCCCTCTCCCGCCTGTCATGTCCTTCGTCTCGGTGGCATCACGCCATCGGGTTCTCTGTGGACTGGATGGATATATCTGGATATATCTGGATCGGAGTTCCCTGGAGACGCTGATGCCTCGGGGTTGTCGGACAAATTGAGCCGTAGCCGCTACTGATCGAAAAGACACATGGGGGAAACGAACGGTAGACGGGTCGCGTGCTTAGGAGGTGAACTATTCACGCGCTAAATGGTTGCGAGATGTGACATGCTGGTGAAATGTATGTGCTACGATCCCGTAAAGACCTTGATAAACTTGGGTGGCAGGTGTGGTGATTTGAAACGACTGGATCCTGGGGCCTGGAAGCCTAGGATCTATTGTGCCTCACATACTGGCCCTAAAGAGTCCTTTGTTTGATGGTATCTCGGTTTTCCATTGATATTTCACATGGGGTGTCCTTTTCTAAAACTGTTGAATAAAGACATGCTTTGATTCGCTTCATTTGCCGTAGCACGATTGTATTACGGCAGTTTTCGTCCTTTCTCTTATGTACCTGACTTGTGAGCTGTGTTTTCATTCGGGCCGTGCGTGCTACCGACTGAAGTGTCGCGATGTTTACTGTTCCCTGTACTGCTTGTGCACGGTGGTTGCCTTGTGTTAGTGGTAAACGCAACACTCGGATATTCGTTGCTTTGGCTCTCACTGACATGCTACGATCACAGCTACGGCGACTTGCTAGGTTACGGTGACTTGAGACTTACGCCAGATACGCCAGAAAGAGTTATGCCGATGGCTCTATCTGGGTTTTTATATCATCAACTTACATAAGCGCACCGGTAACTTCACGATAATCTCGCGTTCCTCCGCACTCAATACGGCAGCCTATCACCAGACCGGCTTTGAGCCCTCGTCTTATACAATGGCTGTTACAGCTCCGTGTTTTACTCCTCGATAAGATCCAATCAGTCGGCAGTGCGTCAGTTGGTAGGTGGTATTGTTACACTGCCGTGCCGCGCGCTGTTGGCTGTATCGCGCTCCCTGAGCTCGGTCCACAGGTCGGAGGTGGGGATTGAGTCAGACGCAATCATTCGGGCTGTGACAGGGTTATTGGAGTGATAGGCTCAATACCAAGGTATAGGCATCAACACAAAAGATATAAGAACGCTGTTTAGGTCTATGCTTGAACTAATGGGTGATGGATCTGTCATCTTCTGATGTTCGCAAGTCAGGGTATTTGTGAGGCTTTTTCAGCTGCCACGGGAATGCAACAAACGTTACGTTATAGTGGGTCTTGATTTGTGCCTAGTAAGTCCGTGCTGAATGCCTTCTGATTTGTAATCCCTTTGAATATCGGGTCTGCATTTAATACCCTCTGGCTTTATGCTCGCTATTTACAAATTCATCTTCAAGCTGGGACAAAAGGGAATCATCGCTCTATGAGAAGGAAATAAAATCCAGTCGAGTGACTGAAATGATCTCTCTCTCTCTCTCTCTCTCTCTCTCTCTCTCTCTCTCTCTCTCTCTCTCTCTCTCTCTCTCTCTCTCTCTCTCTCTCTCTCTCTCTCTCTCTCTCTCTCTCTCTCTCTCTCTCTCTCTCTCTCTCTCTCTCTCTCTCTCTCTCTCTCTCTCTCTCTCTCTCTCTCTCTCTCTCTCTCTCTCTCTCTCTCTCTCTCTCCCTCCTCTCCCTCCTTCCTTCATGCTTCCTGTCGTCATTCTACTCCCCACCGGTTACCGCCGTCCGCAGTTCGGTGGCCCGCCCGGATGTGTGTGCCAGACCTGGCAATTGGCTCTGATGGGCCCACATCCGCGGCTAACCGTGTCAGCGAACAGACCACGACCGGTAGTGATTTCCGATGTTGAGACGCATCGCGGCATCATTCCGCGGTGACGGTGTAACCTGACCCTGCGAATCATGGCGCCTCCCCGCTTCAGTGTGTGGCAGTATATTGTTGTCATTCTGACTGTGACCCTCTGCACTCTAAAGGTGATGTCCCTTGACTTGATGAGACCAGTACTTGGACCTGTTCCACTGTTCCAGTCCTGTGTCTGCCCCGCCCCTGTCCCCCACAGGTACCATTGACAGCCAATATATTACTGTCGTTTACAGTCCTGTGGTGACGCCCCTGTTTCCCCGTAGGTGACATTCACGGCCAAAGCCCCAGCCAGGGATGGTCCTGTTGCAGTCCTCTGACCGCCCCCGTCTCCCATAGATGACGTTCGCGCCCAATGCATGCACCTTCTACTGGCCTGTGACTGCCCTTCTGTCCCCCTTCCCCTTCAAGTGCACGGAGCCGTTCCATTTTCCAGTTTTGTGACCGCCCCGTGTCCCACCCGCAGGTGACATTCACGGCCAATACTACGACCTGCTGAGGTTGTTTGAGTACGGTGGCTTCCCGCCCGAGTCCAACTACCTCTTTCTGGGCGACTACGTCGACCGAGGGAAACAGTCGCTGGAAACCATCTGCCTCCTGCTGGCATACAAGATCAAATACCCCGAGAACTTCTTCCTGCTGCGCGGAAACCACGAGTGCGCCAGCATCAACCGCATCTATGGCTTCTACGAGGAATGTGAGTAGATTATACCCCGACCGGGATATTAAGTTCGGCGATTTTGAGAGAATCCAGCGGGATTTGAGGTTCTCCGGTGGTGGGTTTTTGTTCAGTTTTTACTGAGCCGGCGTTTTTAGTTGATTTTGTCGGTGATCTGGAGGCGTTGCCACTGTTTTTAGCGTTGTTTGGCTTCGTGGGGTGATATCTGCTGGCTGTGTGCCACCGCTCGTCGCAGTAGTGTCAGGTGGGACGTGTCGGGGGTGTTCTTGTGTCTCGGCGCGGTACACTGGCGGCGTTAGTCCGATCTGGCTGGGGAGACACAACTAATTGACACTCGGGAAGATGCATGTGCTCGTGGCTAATCGTTACGTAACTATTGCGCCAATCTCCTGCATTTGTCCCGACTATTGCCGAAAACGCGGCCGTTTCCCTGGGCCGGTAAGCCCATGAGCTGCCGGGCTGCAGCAGCTCGTGTCCGTGAACTTTCCAGCGGGTCGACCGTCGCACTGAACGCCGAAACTGTCGATACTGGTCGCAGCAACTGCGTTTGTGACCTGTTTGGACGACCCTGACGCGTACACACCGGCCTTTGTGATATAATCGGCAAATTTCGCCGCCTCGGCATTTGCAGGCATTTGCTTGCTCGACTTTGCTCGCTTGACGCCGCGGTAAAGTGACATTCTATTGACGGGCCACTGCTCTGCAAACACTTCAACGCTAAACAGCTAACATGAGCGGGGCGCGCGGTCGGTCGGTCGGCCGCCGCTGTAATACCGGCCCTCGGCGGATCTGCAGACTATCCATCACTGTCGGTCTCCTACTGTGCGTGACGTGTCGCGGTTCCTCCACACACTCTCTGAGAATTGTCCTGAGGAGCTGGCCAGCCGGTTCCACCGTCGTGACAACAGAATGTCGCCCACTCTACGGATACACCTTAGCCCCTGTGTTTTGTGTGACATTTCTTTTGCATGCCTCGCGTGTTTAGCGTTCTCCGCCGGTCATTTAACCGTCAGGATACCGCTGTACCCGTCCCACGAACCGTCCGTGACTTGTCTGTCTCAGGTCGCGAGACTAACCCCGCTCTCTGCCCCTCCGCCCCACAGGCAAGCGGCGCTACAACATCAAACTGTGGAAGACGTTCACCGATTGTTTCAACTGTCTGCCGGTGGCGGCAATTGTGGACGAGAAGATCTTCTGCTGCCACGGCGGCCTGTCGCCCGACCTGCAGAGCATGGAACAGATCCGGCGCATACCGCGGCCCACAGATGTGCCCGACCAGGGCCTGCTCTGCGACCTGCTCTGGTCCGACCCCGACAAGGTACGGCCTGTCCTACAGCGACCCCTAACCTATAGCGACCCCTGACCGGGGCTGACCCCGACAAGGTACGGCCTGTCCTGTACTGACCCCTGGCCTTGCTGTGTCCGCTCCCTGCCCTATACCGACCCCGACAAGGTACGGCCCGCCCTATACCGACCCTGCCCTATAGCGACCCTTGACCGGGGCTGATCCCGACAAGGTACGGTCCGCCCCATACTGACCCCTGACCCCACCCAACCAGGGCCTGCTCTGCGACCTGCTCTGGTCCGACCCCGACAAGGTACGGCCTGTCCTACAGCGACCCTGCCCTATACCGACCTTTGACTGGGGCTGATCCTGACAATATGGTACGGCCTATCCTATCCGGGCATCTCACCCGTGACGCTTGAGTCTTGACTCATGGTTCATGACTTATGGCAGAGAGGCGCTTGGCCCCTTGTCCTGATCTCTGGCCCTTGACCCCCGACCATGACCTTGTCTCTTCTATGACCCCTGTGACCTGCTCCGATAGAGCCACCCAACTCTGACATTGGCCCCTGATCTTTGACTGTCGAAGCACGTACTCCCTGCTCTGTGACTTTGTTTCTGTCGACCACAAGATACAGAACGTCTCCCAACCCTACCCCGCCCCGCTCCACCCACCCTGCCCTGCGCCGGCTCGGTCCCTGGCAGCCGCTGCTGCGGGGCGGGCGACTCCCGGCGCGCCGGTCACGATAAGGTAATCCCGGTGGCTGTTGGACGATTGGCCCGCTGTTAGCTATTCATGGGTCACGGGCCAGCGATGGCCGCCCGCCGGGTCGCCCAGGAAGGGCGCCCGGCGGTCACCTTTCGCGGAAGTGGTTGGCGCGCTTCCTGTGCGGGTAACGGGTTAATGTGGTCATTAGTGAACCGGTGGGTGTCTGCAGACACTGGAGCGGCGTGTAAGTTATGCATGCAGATGTACGGGATCGAAGTAAGGACGCCGTGTTTTACATATGTTCGTCGTAGCACCGCTGCAGGATAGCAACAGCGATAGGAGGGTTGAGCTGTTTAAACCGGTGGTATTCGTCCGTCCGCGATATCAGCGGCTGTCAGGGTGACGGCGCCGTGACCCCCAGCTGTCGCTGTGACCTTGATTTGTGACTTAGGACGTCTGGCCGGCAGGACACGATGGGCTGGGGCGAGAACGACCGAGGCGTCTCCTTCACCTTCGGAGCAGAGGTGGTGGCCAAGTTTCTTCACAAGCACGACTTTGACTTGATATGTCGCGCTCACCAGGTGAGGGGCGGAGAGGAGGAGGGGGGGGGGGCGGTCTCAGCGGCCGCTGCTGCGGACCGGCCAATGTATACTGAACACGAGGAGTGGAGTGTTTATTCGGACTTCTGGCCCGGATCTGGCATCATAGAAACAGCCGTGCAGGCTTGTCCAGCGAGTCCAGCGCCTGTCCCGTAGCTCAGTTGGTAGAGCATCGGACTCCCGGTAGTGAGAGCCCGGGTTCGAGACGCTCCGGCGCTCGATAGTTGAGACTCCTGACGGGGATGGTCTGCGGTTGGTGGGAGCAGCCGCAGCCAGTTGAAGTCAGTTGAGTGGGACAGGCCGTGTCCGGCTTTGAAGGGCACGTTAAACTTTGGCATCTAAATTCTCCCGTTACCCGGAATTGCGCGATCGGACGGTAGGGGTCGGGGTCTACGCAACAAGCTCTGCTTAGCGTGGGCTCCGGCTCTGTCAATCCGTCCATTCAAACATTCGAGATAAATTAAAAAAAAAATCTAGTGTGAGATTCAGCTCTAGATGCTATTTCGGCATTTTCTGTCAGAAACACAAGTAGCCGAATCCAAATCGTGCTGTGGAGGAAAAAGATCAACGATATTTTGCTGGTGCTGCAGTCTTTTCCCATTCGGAATGAGCTCAAAGCTTCGATGACCCTCCGGACTCGACCGAGTAGTAAACCCTCCAATATAATCTCCCCGTGAGATCATCTCCGCATTTCGATCTCTCCTCATCAGATCACTCCCGGCTCCGATTTCTCACTAGGCTGCGCCCGACTCTCGGTTGCTGTGGAGCTCGCCGTCGCCGCTGATAATAATAAACAGCTCGGGGCGCCCTGACGCGGGCTACAGGTACAGTTCCAGCCGCCGGCCGGTCGTTCGCTGTCGACCTGCCGGGATCCCCCAGCGTGGTAAATAAGCAGCCGACGCGGCGGGGCTCCCCGCTCCGACCGCGGCCGACGCCCCCCGCGGCGACGCTAGCTGTAATTGCGGTGGGAGGTTTACGGGGGCGGCAGGATGTGTCGCGGGGATCAGGGCGGAGTTTCAGCCGCCCGTCTGGGCTGTGGTCAGGTCTGGGTCGCTGGCTGGGACATTCGGTCGGCGGGTTTCTACCACCCCGCCCCGAGGCTCGGTCCCATGATCGGACGGCCGCCCGCTCGCTGACAGCCTTGAGCCTGTGGCCGCCGGCCAACGCGACGTCAGCGTGACGTCACCGCTCGCCGGCGGCCGTGGCAGCCGGCCAGTCGATGACAGCCCGTGACGTCATTGTGACGTCATCACGGCTGGTCGCGGCGCGGTGTACTGACCGGCGATTTAATGTTGGCGGTCATTTGTTCGCTGTAATGAACAGTCTGTGTGCCGGGCTGACCCGCGCTCGGTGCGCGGGCCAGCCTTGGTCCAGTTCCATCGCCTCGCCGCTCCGCTGCGCAGCACCGGCCTCTCTGATGTCGATGCCAATTTTATTTATGAACTTCCTTCTGACCTGTCTTCTGCCGGTTCAAAGCAGTTTTTCCGCAGAGTGAAAAATGACGTGGGAGAGCTACCGCCGACTTTACAGATGGACCGAGACGCTTTTTGCCGAGTTTTTGCGCTGTATATTTTATGTGAATGTTTCTCTCTCAAGGTGCGCCGTGGTGAGACAGGCGTGTGACGAATGGCGATCGGTTGAGCCCGAGCGCCGGGGTCTGTCTGTCTGTGTGTCCGTCGGACCGTTTTAGTGATGACTCAGCTGTGACATGGGACGGAGTGACAGACGGCTGACCCGAGCTGTCACCGGCCGCCAACCTTGGCCAGGTCTCCGAACAGACATCATCAGAAAAATGAGGTCTTATGACCTGAGTCTGACAGTCACAGATATAAAATTATTAGTCATTAGCCAAAGCATCCTCAGTCGTAACGAGATATGAATATATTCATAGTTACATTCTGATTTGTTTTGTTTATCTCCAATGACTGATGAAACTATTAGCCTTCTCACTAAAAATACGGTGAATCTCACATATCGTCGATAAGACAAACACATTATATTGTTGTAGTTGGCAGCCTCGGTAACGCGCCGGTTGTTCGTTATATAATGGATGTTCATGACTTGTGCCACGGCACGCTCCAGTCGATCGCATCCCAGGGCGCACACAGGTGGTACTGTCTATCAAACTTTCGGTCGGTCCCTCGCCCCTCGGTTATTAGACTGTTTAGCGGCAGGACAGAGCGCCTAGCGTAACTCTAGCAGTCACATCACCGTCTAGAAGCTTATCACGAAAAGCGGCTTCGATGGCAGTTGCTCCTATCCTGATTCGTATGTGCACTCGCGTTTCCGCGTATTTCTTCGGATTAGACAGACTTAGTCTGAATGTTTCAGGCACAGCCAAGTAATCACATTGCTGTAATTAAACGGTTTCCTACACCTTTTTAATTCCCTGTCTTCTGTGTGGGCGTTGATAACATTGCAAAACGGGTGACTTGAAAATTTACCTGTCTTTTTGCGTAGTGTGACTCCATCTTCACTTTACCGCCGAATAACACGCGCCAATGTCATTGTGTGCATCTGGTAACTACATTAAACACCCGTACTGATGAATAACCATATGCGGCTATATGCTTCTGTATATACTCGGCAACTGGTACTGACTGTGTGTGACTGCTGCCATCAGGTGGTGGAGGACGGCTACGAGTTTTTCGCTAAGCGGCAGCTGGTCACGCTGTTCTCGGCGCCCAACTACTGCGGCGAGTTCGACAACGCCGGCGCACTCATGTCCGTCGACGAGAGTCTCATGTGCTCCTTCCAGATCCTGAAGGTAGGCACGCATCGGAGGGGCACCTCTGTATTTTGATCAGAGGCGGGATCGGGGTGGTGTTTGTAGGAATGGAATAGAGCACTGCTTCCCCAGCCAGCTTAATACCTGGTATTTTGCCTGTGTCACGCTCGTGGGCATGTCCAGGTTTGACGATTTTTCGTCATCGGCTGCGATATGTCTCATTGATTCTGACGTCGTATTTCGAGGCTCTCATCCACACGGTATTATGGGTGCGCTGCCCTGTGCGATACGGCGTGGGTGTGATTCCCGGTGTTAGTCTTTCGTAATGCGTTAGTTGTTTGTGTCGGTACATCCGCTGTTGCCGACTGTTGTGCAGGCTTCAGAGCTTCCTTCCTTCACGGATAACGAGACGCACCCAACTGACGTTAATTTCCCGCCGAACGCGCCGCCAGTTTACACTAGGCGGCCCGTGGGCTCCCATACAAGTCCGACCGTGTCCTCACATGACAGTCTGCCCATGCCCTTTCATACTTGTCTGATCGTGTCCTCGCATACCAGTCTGACTACTTTGCAATACGAGTCTGACATTGCCGCTTGGTACTTTGTAGTCTGACAGCATCCGCCATTTCACAGCCGACAGACCGGAAGAAGATGTACGGAGGCGTGAACGCCGGCCGGCCGGCCATCCCGCCCAGGGGCGGATTCCCGGGCGTGAACAAAAACAAGAAGAAATAGGCGGCGGACGGTGGGCAGCTGCGGCGCGGCGACGGTACGGTCGCCGACGCCGCTTTGTTAGTCTTTACCGGGTGGGAGGGAGACCCTCAATGCGCGCGCTGTCTAAGCGCAGCGCGGCGCGTCTTGCGCAATGTGCGCCGCGCGCGTTGCTAGGTTTCGAGATGACGGTGTGCCGCGGAGGCCGGCGAGTTTTACGTTTGACCCGCGGCGGTGCGCGCGCCGCCGCCGCGCGCGCGCTGTGTCGTGTCTAGTGCTCAGCGTCCTGTGGTGCGTCTGGGCTGGGGCTGGCTGTCTCAGTCGCTAGCTGGCGCAGTACAAACCGTGTCTATCTCCGGAGCGGCAGGGCGCCATGTCAGATGGATAATATACATACTTCTCGAGTCGATATCGCCTGTTTCAGACTCCGGGGGACGTGCTGTGGGGGTCGGGAGGGACGGGACGAACCGGCACCAGCTGCCTCGGAGGAAACTTCGGCGAGGAGGCAGCGATGTCATCTCTGCCATAAGTTATCACGTCTCTGACCTTTCAGCGCGAATCGTATGATGAGCTTTACACGCACATCCCCAAGGCAGCGAACAAACAGCTCCCGTCATTTACAGTCCGGTGATCGCGCACCCAGCAACTATTCGGTCGACGCACCGCGACCCCAGAGCCCCCTCCCCCCCCGTCCCCCTACACACACATCGAGCGGCGGGGGCGGTCGGATCAGCCCGGCAAATCGCTGCAGCGTGCACGAATTACGCAACAAGATCGCGACCTGGTATCGGTCGAATTCATTCAGCTGGGGCTGCACGCGCCCGGACCGGTTCACCGTTGCGTCCGCACTGAACGGACCGCTCGTCGGCAGGAGGGGGGGGGGGGGCTGGATGGGTAGGGGGGTCGGGTGAATGGAGGGCGAACAGGAAAAAAAGGACCGGCGGGCGAGGATCGTCAGGAAAGTGAACGCTGATTCAGCGATAATATGAAGCAGCTATCCTTGAAGACAAATAATGAGAGCGATCACTCGATATGCGAAACTGGAAAACCTTATTCGCGAAGTATCGTGTTTCATGTTCAAAATGACTGATCAGTTCGACACAATTGCACATATATCTCAAAACATTCTACACACGCCAGCGTCACAACAAAAGGCTTCCTGTCCACTTCTCTGAAACATAATTAGCTAGGTCATCCATCAGTCGATACGATTCCGCGATCTAGCACGCAATCGTACGCACGCAAACGCTCCCGCACGCTCCCATCGGCCGTCCGGTCAGGTGACCTGCACCGGAGCCTTAGCCGGCCGGTCACGTGACCAGACAGGCGGTGACCTATCACGGCCCTCGGCCGGCCGGTCAGGTGAGCTGCAGCGGTTCCCAGCCGGCCGGTCACGTGACATTAACTAGTCCTTGCTGACCGGTCAGGTGACCAGCAGCGGCCCCCAGCTGTTCTGGCCGTGCAGCAGCAGTCGGTCTCGGCTGAGTCGGTCCAGGCGCGCCTGCTCTCGCCGCACGTACGCCACGATCGTCTCCAGCCGGGTGGCGTCCTTACCGCCGCGCGAGAACAGCCGCCGCCAGAGGGCGCTGGCCAGCACCCGGTCGTCCTGCAGACCCTCGTCGTAGCCCAGCAGCGCCGCCTGCCGGCCGCCGCGCCAAACGTCAGGTCGGCTCCGTCGGGGGCATAACAGAGCCTGACACCTATTGCCGCCCAAGGCAGGATGGTGGGGAGCTCTCGAGTCATCGTCTCGAATCACATTCTTAATATCTTTACCAGGAAGTAATGTCTGGTAATGGTGCAAAGCACCCTGGATCGCCTGGATATTGTGCCAAATCCGCTGGATCTACTCACCTGGAAGTGGTGCGACGTCTGCTGGATTTGCTCGTTGCGCACCGACGCGGCGACCGATCCGAGTTTTTTGCTGCGCGTCTCGAGGTCCTCCCACATGGCGGTGATGAGCTGGCCGCGGCAGAACTTTCCCTCTGCGCCGTCATCGGCGAGACGCACACACAGCATCCACACGTGCAGCTCCGTTACCAAGTACCTATGGTGTGGGGAAACAAAGTCAACATACATTCACAAGCGGAGCGACGTGTCATAGGGAGATACAGTCTCATTCCAAATCATCACGCGTGAACAATGATGCGCCTGCCACATGCATATTGAGCGACAAATGTAAATGCGATGAAGTAAATTATTTCATTATCATGAAACAGGGATGAGGGCAGATATTTTTCTCACACAGTTAATAATCATTGCATTGCACCATCTCTGATCAGGCGTTCCCCGCCCAGGCTCTCACCATGAGAAGAACGTGTCCGGCATCTCGCAGAGCTGGAAGAACTGCACGTAGTCGGGCCCATCGGCGGCCGTCTCGTACAGCAGGTATCCGACGGCCCGCAGTCGGGCGCGGCTCACGTTGAGCACACCCAGCTTTCCCAGTACGTTCCGGATGGCGCCGCCCGGAGCCACCAGGTCCCGGAGGCCGGCAGAGACGGGAGAGGTGTGGAGGGAGGCAACGGAGGGACTGGCGAGGGGTGACAGCAGGTGTCTATGGGGAGGGGTGGCGTGGTGGGAGGTTGCTGAGGTGGTGAGAGGGCTCAGGAGACCAGGCAGACATGTGGTGGTTACAGATGCTGGATGGAGAGATGCTGAGGAGAGGAGGCAGCGAGGGGATGCTGACGTTAGACGCAGTGGTGCCAGCAGCAGCCTCATATCTGCTCCTGGAAAAAGATAGGAGAGAGAGGGTCAACCTCAGCTCACTGGCAAATTGCCACATTTAGGGGACATGCTCCTCAAATAACTTAATGCTACTTAATCAAAATCAGTTGATTTCCTCAGAGAGCAACAAAACTTATGTGGTTCCTGAGTTGTAAGTCATAAGTTTGTAAGTTGACGTCATTGAAGTTGACAATTTAATTTACCCAGCCACAATGAAACATATGAATCTGAGGTGACTAACCAACTAATTCCACACAAAGGATTCTGGGGGAGTGTTCTGAGGATTCTGCAGCATTAACAGGCAACAGCAGCAAATGACAAAGCATCTCAACCTAGTGAATTTGCCAGAGCAATAACTCAGCAAAGTGCCAAATCATTACAAATGAGGAACCGTGCACTTATATTTTTGAATCCTAGAGTTTGAAATACAACATTTTTCCATTCTTTATCAGATAATTATCAACAAATTTAGCCATTATGATTAGGTAGGTAGGTAGGAAGTAACATTTGACTGTGTTATGTAACCTTCAACTTAGTTTGTTTTGTAAGGTAATGTGAAGGACTGACTCAAAGACTTGTTATCTTCCAAGAAATCAAATTAGTTCAAATGCACGAAAATTTACCTGAAGTTCGATGCAGTTCTTTTAAATCTCTGAAATTTAGCAAAATTACTTAAAATCGAATTGGCACTGGGTATAGGAGAAATCAAGATACCGGGAGAAATTGCATGTAACGGAAGTTAGCAGGGATTCAGCAGGGGTTCAGCAGGGATTCAGCAGGGATCGACGGCCCCTACGATATCGCTGAATTTTGGTGGAGAGGTGCAGAATGGTGTCCTCTATCGAAAATCCTAGTGCCAAAATGCGGGGAATCCATCAGGGGGGCCACAAATCCCAAAAAATAGTATGCCCTCAGGGCACAATCGACGAACTTTGAAAACCCTACTTCTAGCCGTCAAAACAGCTAAAAATGCACGTCATTCGAAAGAGGACAAAATTTTACGTGCAACGGTACCAAATTTAGGGGGCTAGCTCCCCCCTGAACCGAACAAAACAGCTTCAAATATATGGGCCCGGGAGTATGCCCTCGGGGCATAAATACACGTTTTCAACAATTTCAGGCCTATAACATCGACAAAATCCAGCAATATGCACATCATTGGAAAGAGCGTAATTTCCCAAACAAAAAACCCAAGTAACATTTTTCGATGGGGCCCACCTGGGGCCCACGGGACCCAATTGAAATTTGGGGCCCAATGGGGCGGCCCCTACGATTTTCTTCAAAATTTGCACAGACACTCTCCTGGGCCCCCTCTTCAATATGGCTGAAGAAACCTACCGGGGAATCCAAAGGAAGGGGCCCAAAGAGGGCCCCAAAGAGGCCCTTTCTAAGTATTGCCCCTAATTTCGCGACCAACCCCGACAATATGCACAGCATTGGAAAGAGCGTAATTTCCCAAACAAAAAACCCAAGTAACATTTTTCGATGGGGCCCACCTGGGGCCCACGGGACCCAATTGAAATTTGGGGCCCAATGGGGCGGCCCCTACGATTTTCTTCCAAATTTGCACAGACACTCTCCTGGGCCCCCTCTTCAATCTGGCTGAAGAAACCTACCGGGGAATCCAAAGGAAGGGGCCCAAAGAGGGCCCCAAAGAGGCCCTTTCTAAGTATTGCCCCTAATTTCGCGATTAACCCCGGCAATATGCACATCATTGGAAAGAGCGTAATTTCCCAAACAAAAAACCCAAGTAACATTTTTCGATGGGGCCCACCTGGGGCCCACGGGACCCAATTGAAATTTGGGGCCCAATGAGGCGGCCCCTACGATTTTCTTCAAAATTTGCACAGACACTCTCCTGGGCCCCCTCTTCAATCTGGCTGAAGAAACCTACCGGGGAATCCAAAGGAAGGGGCCCAAAGAGGGCCCCAAAGAGGCCCTTTCTAAGTATTGCCCCCTAATTTCGCGACCAACCCCGGCAATATGCACATCATTGGAAAGAGCGTAATTTCCCAAACAAAAAACCCAAGTAACATTTTTCGATGGGGCCCACCTGGGGCCCACGGGACCCAATTGAAATTTGGGGCCCAATGGGGCGGCCCCTATGATTTTCTTCAAAATTTGCACAGACACTCTCCTGGGCCCCCTCTTCAATCTGGCTGAAGACACCTACCGGGGAATCCAAAGGAAGGGGCCCAAAGAGGGCCCCAAAGAGGCCCTTTCTAAGTATTGCCCCTAATTTCGCGACCAACCCCGGCAATATGCACATCATTGGAAAGAGCGTAATTTCCCAAACAAAAAACTCAAGTAACATTTTTCGATGGGGCCCACCTGGGGCCCACAGGACCCAATTGAAATTTGGGGCCCAATGGGGCGGCCCCTACGATTTTCTTCAAAATTTGCACAGACACTCTCCTGGGCCCCCTCTTCAATCTGGCTGAAGAAACCTACCGGGGAATCCAAAGGAAGGGGCCCAAAGAGGGCCCCAAAGAGGCCCTTTCTAAGTATTGCCCCTAATTACGCGATTAACCCCGGCAATATGCACATCATTGGAAAGAGCGTAATTTCCCAAACAAAAAACCCAAGTGACATTTCTCGATGGGGCCCACCTGGGGCCCACAGGACCCAATTGAAATTTGGGGCCCAATGGGGCGGCCCCTACGATGTTCTTCAAAATTTGCACAGACACTCTTCTGGGCCCCCTCTTCAATCTGGCTGAAGAAACCTACCGGGGAATCCAAAGGAAGGGGCCCAAAGAGGGCCCCAAAGAGGCCCTTTCTAAGTATTGCCCCTAATTTCGCGACCAACCCCGGCAATATGCACATCATTGGAAAGAGCGTAATTTCCCAAACAAAAAACCCAAGTAACATTTTTCGATGGGGCCCACCTGGGGCCCACGGGACCCAATTGAAATTTGGGGCCCAATGGGGCGGCCCCTACGATTTTCTTCCAAATTTGCACAGACACTCTCCTGGGCCCCCTATTCAATCTGGCTGAAGAAACCTACCGGGGAATCCAAAGGAAGGGGCCCAAAGAGGGCCCCAAAAAGGCCCTTTCTAAGTATTGCCCCTAATTTCGCGACCAACCCCGGCAATATGCACATTAGGGTGTGTCATTTTGTGCACTTTTTTCGCAAAACATGGTGCTCCACTGATTTTATCGTGCCCCAGACACGTAGAAACCGTGTGACATTTTTTATTTCCCCCAAATATTAACACCCATGCGGCGCCGACCGCCGACACTTTGGCCTATCTCTCAGTATTAGCGACCTCAGCGCCCCTAGCGGCAATGTTTTGAACTAACACGCTCGCTATGCTTTGTGAGCTTACGATCATCAGTAAATGCATTTTACCGAACTGACGTCTTGCTGTTGGCTTATCCGGCACTCAGAATGTTGGTGAAAATGTGATGTTATGCATCTTAAAGCACGAAATAGTTCTGTGTTAATGTATATTGCATAGTACTACCCCCGATCCCCGGCCTGGTCTGACGGGATACGTACGAGCGCATGTTTATAGTGCCTGCTATTAGGTGTCACATGTTTTTTTTTTTTTTTTTTTGGTAGCGTCGTTCACTGCATAGACCCCGGGGAACAGGGGGGGGGGGGGCAGTGGGGGCGCTTACCCCCCCCCCTCCAACTTGAGAGCCGAGTGGGCGCCGCCCCCTCAACATTGATGCAACGATGAAGGATCTCATCTCCCTTTTATGGACCTACATGTCTGTTTTTATATAAACATCAGCACAAGGTATTTCTCTTGCATGTGAATGGTTTCTGCTGATTCGGCATCGATTTAAGAACACCTGCTATTGTCATCCCACTTTGATTTTATCTGAACTTGATCATAACTTTGGTAGGTCAGATTTTATACTGGACCATTTTGGTTCCGGATGGTATTTGATTTGGCGTGATGAGAACATTATGACGTACAACCGTGGTAAAGTCGTTGATTGATACAGGTTCACTCGCTCCGGTGGGAGGCAGTAGCGGCGGAACACCTTCAATTAAGTGGAGGGGGGGGGGGGGACACTGCCGACTTTTGGTCCCATTCTTTCCATGCAACGTCCATAGCGCTAATGTTAAAATGCCCAAATCAGAGGGGGCACGGTGCCCCGGTGCCCTCCCCGTTCCGCCGCCTATGGTGGGAGGGCGGCGTGTGGGACTCAGAAGGAGACTAATGGCTTGTGTTGTGCCTTTGGTAGGACCCTCAGTATCACCGATGCAGGGCCTTCAGAGCCTCCAATTAGGGGCCTTTAGAGGCACTGGTGTGGGGTCCTCACAGACGCCCGTGTGGCCCCTCAGAGGTGCTAGTGTGAATCCCTCATAAGCGCCGGTGAGGGTCCTCAAGAATACAGACGCCGTTGTGGACCCTCAGAGACACTGGTGTGGGTCCGTTACATGTGGGTGTGTGGCCCTTAGAGCTGCTGGTGTCGGCAGGGGGCCCTCAACGACCGGGGAGGGGGACCTCAGACCGGCAAGGGGCCCACAGAGGCCGGCGGCATTTTCAGAAGCCCTGTGGGGTCCTTAGATACCGACAAGGTACTCTGAGACGCCAGTGCGGCCCTCACTCTCCGGTGTAGGGCCCTCAGAGTTGCAGGTAGGTGGCCGTCAGATATGCTTTTGCCGAACCCTCACAGGCGCAGGTGTGGGTACCTTAGAGCCACCAATATAGGGTTGCATAAATGGTGTGGCACTGGCTTGGGGGACCCTCAGTGGTGTCCTTATGGGCCCTTAGAACCACTGGTGTGGGGCTGTCAGAGGTGCTGGTTGTGAACCCTCAGAGGCCCTGCTGAGGGCCCTCACGGTCTCCGTTATGGGATCCTCAGAAGCCGGCGTAGACCCTGACGGAGATCTTAGTGTGGCTACTTAGGGGTTCATGAGGTGCTCTTACGAGACCTGTGAGGTCTTTCTCAGTTGAAATATAGTCAGCGTGGACCCTCAGAGGTCAGTTGGTGCCGCAGGGCCCTTTATGGCCGGGTGGGCTCTCAGAAGCACCAGTGAGGGCCCTCAGTCTCACAGTCGTCGTAATGGGGCCGTCAGAGACATTGGTGTGAGGCCATTACTAATTACAGGTTGGCGTAAGGCCCTAGATATGGCCCCTCTTGGGCCGGCAAGGACTCTCAGAGGCACGCTAGCGGCCATAAGAGGCCGGTAAAGGGCCCTCAGAGGCCGCCAGTAGCCTTCAGAAGCCGGCGTGTAACCCTCATGGACAATTTAGTGAGGCTTCTTTGGACTCACGAGGTGCTGTTACGAGCCCTATTCTTTCTGAATCGAAATATGGCCAGCATAGACCCTGAGCGGTAAACTGGTGCCACAGAGCCCCTCCGACCCGAGGGGTCCTCTGAATGCGATAGGGGGGGGGGGGACTAGAGGGCACGTGCCTCCTGGGACCCCCTGACTACGCTACTATTTCATATGCGTCATGTCAGGTATTTTGGGCTTGCACCCCAACTTGAAGAATGTCCCTGGGCCCACGTGACAATATATTGTATTCATTATAGGTATTCTTCATTAGCTTGCACTCTCTGCAATCTGCCCATACTATTATTTGTCCCTGGACGCGCTTACAGAGAGCAGGGATAAGCCCATACAGTCAGCGGCCTGTTAGTTTCGCAAACAGCCGCCAGGGGCGCTAGGGTCGCCTATGTTGTGAGATAGGGTAAACTTCTCTCGCTCGGCGCCGCCTGGGGGTTAAAATTTGCGGGAAATTAACAATGCCACGCCCTTTCCACATGAGTGGAGCACAATAAAATCGATGGAGCACCTTGCATTGCGATTAGTGACACACCCTAATGCACATCATTGGAAAGAGCGTAAGTTCCCAAACAAAAAACCCAAGTAACATTTTTCGATGGGGCCCACCTGGGGCCCACAGGACCCAATTGAAATTTGGGGCCCAATTGGGCG